AAAAGGCAAGATCAGATAAAGAGTAGAGGTGCATGGTGGGGGAGAAAGGGAGGGAGGGGGGGTAGTATGTTGATTTTACTTGGGAGGGAGGGGTGAGTAGGTGTAAAGGGAGGAAAGTGGGGTAACGACTTGGGTGGTTCCGTTGTAAATTTTAGTTCTCTGAAATAGGGCTCATCAATATTTAGGCCAGAGAGGGTTTGATGTGAGCCCAGGTTCCACATACACTTAGGTTCTCTAAGGTTGAGATTTTCTTTTGTAGGATTTTTAACAATCTCTATACCCTGAAGCTGCATGTAAGTGGTTCCGTTGTGACCAGGGCTTTTGAAATGTTGGCCGACTGGGGTGCATGAGTGGTTTTGTACTGAGTACCTATGATTGTTAAATCTGGCCCTTAGAGTGGTGGAGGTTTGTCCTACATATTTGGCAGAGCATATTTTGCATGTTATTAGGTAAATTACATTTTTTAGTTTCGCAGTTGATGTTATCTGTAAGAACAAGTTGGTTTCTGTCATGTAAGGGCATGTTTTGCACCTAGGTTTCTTGCAGGGGTGGTTCTGGGGGGGGGGGTTGTGAGAGGTTGTTTTGAGGTGAAGGAAGATGTGTTGTATCTTTTGTACGGATGAGAAGGTTGCCAAGGTTGGGGGCTTGTCGGAGAGCGATTAAAGGGGGCTGAGGGAAGCACTTCATCATCTTGTCAGATTTTTCTAAAATGTCTTTGTGCTGGTTGTGGATGTTGTGGACATTGGGCAGCTTTTGGTGGTGAGTGGTGACAAAGAATGGCCTTTTCTGATGAGGTGTGTGGGGTTTGTAGCTAAGTAGATCCTTGTGCCTGAGTTTGCACACTTTGTTTATGATAAGGGTTATAAAACTGTTTTGGTATCCACTGCACAGAAGGTTTTCTCGTCATCATCGTCATCATCAGCATCATTACCATCATCATCAGCAGCAGTGTTACCATTACTGTTATTTGTATTAGCTGTTATCTTAATGATATTATTATTGTTATTATTATCATCATCATTTATTGACCTCGTCTCTCCTTTGGACCAAATCAGCTAAGTCGAGAGGGGGTTCGTGCAAATTGGCCAAGGCACGTTCTCCATATAGTCAGGCCTAGACATTTAGCTTTGTCAAGATTTCAAGATTTCTGGGAGGACGCTGCAAAAGAGCAAATACAGCGGATCAGACCCACAGCTCAACCACAGCTACAACAGCACTTATATGATTATGGAGAGGACACTTCATCCTTGTGACGAGCAAGGGAAAAAACACGGGAGGTGGCAGTTTACGGGTTATAAGACATCCTTATTTGGCGAGACAGGATGTCGCCACGGGTCACCTTTGACGATGGGAGTGACTATTCAGTCACACTGATCAGCTACCGCCCGTCTCAAACTGGGCAGCCCACAGCCAGTAAGGTGCTGATCCGCCACGTCTGTTTGCTTCTATGGGTGTATGGAGCTGGACAAAAACCGAAAGGCAGACGTTAAATCCAGCACCAGGCAAAAAAAGAGTTAAACTAACCCCATGGAAGCTGGGAAGCTGGAATGTTAGAACAATGACAACCGGAATGGACACTACAAACCTGGAGAAAACAGAGGACATCAGAAAGACAGCAATCATAGACAGGAAGCTCACACGACTCAATGTAGACATCACTGCCCTGCAAGAGACAAGACTTGCTAACTCTGGTACCATCAGGGAAAGAAACTACACATTCTTCTGGAAGGGTCTTGGGGAAGATGAGAGGAGAATCCATGGTGTGGGCTTTGCTGTACACAACAGATTGCTGAACAGGATCAGCACCCCCCAAGGTATATCCGAACGTATCACTGTCATGGAAATGGAAACCAAAACTGGAAAGGTTCACTTCATCAGCGCCTACGCCCCAACCCTAACAACAGAAAATGAGAAAAAAGACCAGTTTTACGAGGAACTTCAGGATGCAATCAACAACGTCCCAAAAGCAGACCAACTGTTTCTCATGGGCGACTTCAATGCAAGAGTAGGTACTGAAAACAAAGTATGGCCCACCTGCCTTGAACCTTTTGGGCTGGGAAAAATCAACGAGAATGGTCAGAGACTCTTAGAATTCTGCACAAATTACAACCTTTGCATCACTAACACCTTCTACAGTGGCAAGGACAGACACAAGGTTTCTTGGTGCTATCCAAGATCAGGCCATTGGCACCAAATTGACTTCATCATCATCAGAAAGAAAGATGCCAACATGGTAAAGCAAACAAGATCCTTCTACAGTGCAGAGTGCAACACAGACCACCTTTTAATTATAGCTAAGGCAAAGATGGTCACAAGGAAAACCCCAAGAGCTGAAAAACAAAAGAAACCTAATATCAACATAAGAAATACCAAAGACCCAGCGTTAAAAGCAAAATTTCAAGAACATGGTAAAGAAAAGCTCCAACATCTAGATAGCTCATCCCCAGACAACATGTGGAATAGCATGAGATCAACAATTTATAATTCTGCGTCGATTTCTTTTGGAATAGAAAGACTTTACAAGGAGGACTGGGTTGAGGCCAGTGCATCAACACTCGCACCTCTACTCGAGAAAAAGCGTAAGCTTCTGATAAAACACAACACAAAACCAATAGAGAGTACAAGGCAACAGCTACGTGCTGCTAAATCCAACCTTCAAAGAGAAACCAGAAAGTGTGCCAATCAGTACTGGGACAAGTTATGCTCAGAAATTCAACAGGCCAGCGATACAGGTAATATCAGGAAAATGTATGAAAACATCAGAGTTGCTATTGGACCAACAGCAAACAAAGTGGTACCTCTAAAGTCTGCGACAGGTGAACAGCTGACCGACAAGAAGAAACAAATGGAAAGATGGGTGGAACATTATTCAGACTTATGCTCAGAGGAGCGACATGATGATAGACAGCTACATGAGGCCATTCCTCAGCTCTCCGAAATGTCAGAACTTGATACAACACCAACAGAAGAAGAACTCTCCTCTGCAATCGATGAACTCGCTTGAAGAAAAGCAGCAGGAAATGACAACATACCTGCTGACGTGCTGAAAGAGAACAAAGAGACTCTCCTCCCATATCTCTACAAGCTACTAACGACTTGTTGGCTGAAAGCAGAAATTTCACATGACATGAGAGATGCCAAAATCACAACACTCTACAAAAACAAAGGGGACATCTCACTGCTAAGCATCACGGGAAAAGCTTTCGTTAGGATCATCCTGAAGCGACTTCAGAAACTAGCAGAAAGAGTCCTCCCAGAGAGCCAATGC